ATTAAACATCCCAGACAATTCTGAATTATACATCCGTGAGATAGCTGCCTGAGTGTCTGTGGATTGTCCCACTATTTCTTTGGCGGCGATCGAGCCAATCGGAAGCTGAATTGAGAAAAAGAGAGAGAGAGAGAGGATTGAAAAAAATCTATGGATAATTATACACGTATTCTGCAAATAAACAGAAATTTTTCTTCAAAAATCATATTATACACTTTCTTATTTTTGATAATCTATGAAAAAGAAGCTTCAGTTGGGAAAGCAATAAATTTCTCTACAGCAACTTTGTAATTTGACTTTGACTTTCATTTTCACCGTCTTTGAATTTTACTCTGACTTTCGATTCGATTTTGAATTTAACATTGACATTGATTTTGACTTTCATTTTCACTCTCAGGCTTCACACTCAATAATTAATTTTAAAAAAGTATTAAAAAGTAGCTTTAATACTGAAAAAAGTAGTAGAAAAGCAGCTATTGAAAATTAATTTTAACGAAAAAAAAATTGTTTTAGCCGATTCACAAAAATTTGATTCAGTATTTCCCTGACTCTTTCCTGATTTCAATCAAAAATATTTATTTTTATTCTAATCCTGCTCTAAATTTTTGAAAAATTCAATTATTTTCTAAATTTCTATCCTAAAAAATACAATTGTATTAAAAAGTAATTTTTAAAAGTAAACAAATAAAATTATTTAATAAAATTTAATGTAAATTATTCACAGGAATTAAGAAAATAAATTAATAATTTTTCAAAGTAAAAATTTAAATGGTATTACAGTTTTACAACAATTAGAATATTCAATTATTATCCGAAATTTCACCTCAAATTTGTTTTTAAATCAATTCTTATTATAAAGTTCAACTGAACTTCAACTAGGGTAACTGCACCAATTGCCGAGGGTGCTCCAATTGTCGAGGATAATAATTTTCTTTTTTAGATAAATAGTATAATATATAATATTTAAGAACAAAAAAAATTTCTAAATAATCTTTGTATTTTCAACTGTATATTTATATATACAAATTTCGTAGCGATTCTACTAAAATAATTATTTAATTAATATTATAATTCACTGCTGTGAAATTTACACGAATCTCCGTTTTCTTAATACTTCAGGTTGATTAAAAGAGATTTTTAGAAATGCAAATTAAACGTATTTATAATGACTTTTTGTGTACAAAATTATTATTATAATTTTGTACACGAACTAAATTAATTTTGTATGCATGTTTTTTTGTTAAAAAAAATATTTAATATTTTTTAAAAGCAAATCATCGGTATTTGGTTCCTTTTTTTTTGACAGTTCCATTTTTCGAGGTAATGACTCGAAAATTGGTGTAGTCACTTTTTTCGCTGATGTACCATTTATCGATGGTTAAGTGTTTATTTACTAAACGTCAAACATAAATACTAAACATTTATAGGTACAGAGAAAAAGAAAAAAAATGCTCCAAAAATTTACAACCAACAGAAAATAATCAACCAAAAAAAACAAGGAAGACGGAAAAAAAATTAATAAAAAAAATGCATTATTTAAAACTAAAAAATTTTGTACTATAGTTTAATTATAATTAACCATTATATTTACAGTTCGTAATAAAAGTTGATTTTATTCGTTTACAAATTTAATGTGACTTAAATTAATTTATTTTTTCAATAAGTGTCTGATTAACAAAATTGATTAAATTTAATTAACTTATTTATAAAAGTTTAAAAAACAGTCAAATAATTTTCTGTCCTGTATCGTCTACTATAAAAATGTTTTATATCGATATTATAAATTATTTAATTATAGTTAAATAAATATATTTGATTTCTGGTAATGTTCTATAATATTTTTATCGAAAAAATAAATATCTACTTGATTTTCAAATATCTGTACAGGTTAATTGTTAGGTTATATTGGGTTATATGTTTAAAAATGTCATACCCTCGACAATTGGAACAGACCCTCGAGAAATTAGCACAAGACCATCGACAAATGGTGCTTTTGCTCGATTGACTTTTAAATATATTTTTTGCTTAACAATTTAGTTTATATTAAAAAAATAATAATGAATATTAAACATTATTAGATCCTTCGTCCAAATATACAAAAATCAAATTTTAAAGTGCATTTACTTCCGAGAAAAAAAATGTCAAAGTCACATGTTGCCTAAAACCCTCGACAATTGGTACAGTTACCCTATTTAAATACAAAAATAAATAATATATTGAATAATTGAATGTTTCTCAAAATTTAATACTTATAAAGAATTTATCAATTTTTTAAAAAAATAATTGAATTTCTGAGAAGAATTTTTTTATTTATGAAAATTTTTGAATTCTTCCAAAGAATTTTATTGAATTTTTTTTTAAATAATTGAATACTCGTGAAAAATTTTATTATTTAGGAATATAATTGAATAATTGTGAAAAATTAAAAAAGAATTATCAATTTTTTGAAATTAATTGAATTCGAATGAAAAACTTTATTATTTGTGAAAATAATTGAATTTTTGCTAAGAATTTTATAAAAATTTTGTGTAAAAATTTGTATTTCTGCGAAAAATGTTACTGTCTTTGAAAATAATTGAATTCTTGCAAAGAATTTTATTAAAATTTTTGAAAATAATTCAATTCTGGTGAAAAATGTTATTATTTGTGAAAATAATTGAATTCAAGTAAGAAACTTTATTATCTATGAAAATAATTGAATTCTTGTAAAAAATTTTATTAAAATTTTTGAAAATAATTAAATTTCGGTCAAAAATGTTATCATTTGTGATAGTAATTGAATTTTTGCAAATAATTTATTAAAATTTTTGAAAATAATTGAATTCTAGTGAAAAACTTTATTATCTTTGAAAATAATTTAATTTTTGCAAAGAATTTTATTAAAATTTTAGAAAATAATTCAATTCTGGTGAAAAACGTAATTATTTGTGAAAATAATTAAATTTTTGCGAAGCATTTATTAAAATTTTTGAAAATAATTGAATTGAAGTGAAAAACTTTATTATCTAACAAAATAATTGAATTCTTGTAAAGAATTTTATTAAAATTTTTGAAAATAACTGAATCCTGGTGAAAAATGTTATTATTTGGGAAAATAATTGAAATTTTGCGATTAATTTATTAAAATTTTTGAAATCAATTGAATTCTCAAAAACAATTTTATTATTTATAAAAATATTTGAATTCATGAGAAGAATTTTATTTAATTCTTTTTAAATAATTGAATTCGCGTGAAAAATATTATATTTGGGAAAATAATTGAATAATTGTGAAGAATTAAAGAAAAAATTCAAGAATTTATCAATTTTTAAAAAAATAATTGAATTTCTGAGAATAATTTATTATTTATCAAAATAATTGAATTCTTGCGAAGAATTTTAATGAATTCTTTTTAAATAATTGAATTCTCGTGAAAAATTCAATTATTTGGGAAAATAATTGAATTCATGTGAAGGATTTTATTAAAGTTTTGAAAAGTAGGTAATTGGATTGTTGAGAAGCCTTTTATTATTTATGCGAAAATAATTGTATTCTTGACTGGAATTTTCTTTAAATTTTTATAAATAATTGAATTTTCGTGAAAAATGTTATTGCTTGTGAAAATAATTGAATTCTTGTGGCAGAATTTTATAAAAAGTTTTTAAATTGATTTTCTTCGAAAAATTTTATGAAATATTTCAAATAAATCAATTCCTGTGAAAATTTTATTACTTATAAAAAAATTGAATGTTTGCGAAGAAATTTAACAAAAATCTTTTATGGAATTTCATTAAAATTGTATAGAAATTGAAAATCATTGATTTTCGAAAAGTTTTTGAGAATAATTGAATCGTTTTAAATAATTTTATTACAATTTTCAGAATATGTTTTTTATTTCAACTATTAGCGAATTTAAAGTGATGCAAATTTCCCCCAAAAATATAGAAAAAAGTAGCTTTTAGTGTCATAAAACTAAAAAAAGTTGTAAATTGTAGGTTTTAGTAGATGAGTGCGAAGCCTGCACTCTGAATTTTTGATAATGATTTTAACTTTCGATTCGATTTTGACTTTGAATTTAATTTTCATTTTTACTTTCAAGTTCGAGATCAAAATCAAAGTCAGAGTGAAAATGGAAGTCAATGTCAAAATCGAATCGAAAGTCAAAGTCAAATTACAAATCGTATAAACTTTACAAGAATATGAATTTTCTCAAACAACTTGACAACAATCTCAAATACTTGTTGGTAAAAATAAATTTTTCCTAACAGCTATAGAAAAAAATAAACTATTTTCGAAATTTGCATATTTTTATAGGAAATGAGGGTTTATTTAAATTTTATTCCTCTTCAATTCGCAAAATATTTCGAACCTCCTACACTCTTGCGAATTCGACCTTGCTAAATGAATTATAGAATACATAAATTTCACACTTGAAGAAAAAGGACAAAATGAAAGTGTACTCAGTGATTACTTTTCACTGTTTCAAATTACATTTCGAAGGAGAGATTTCGTAATGCAAAATCCGCCTGCCAAGTTAAGGGTTAAGTAAGAATACTTATATAGGAAGAATTCGCATTCCTGGCCATATTCGGTACGCACTGTATTCATGGATATACAACCGCTTGTCCGGAAAGGTACTATATACCACCTCTATCAGTGAAAGAGTGGTATTCCGATAAAGAACAATTTTTTCTTTCCTCTTATACTCTACTTTATGTATGTGACCGCTTTTGAGAAAAGGGTATTAGCAATCTTACTTTCAAACCACTTTTGACTAAAACCGTTTACAACAAGAAAGGTTTTTTAGATGTGTAGGTTTCAGACTTTGTTTTTTTCCCAACAATCGAATTTTGTTTTCCAGGCTCTTTTAATATAATTATAAAAACCCCCAAAAATTCTAATAAAGTGCGAAGGAAATATTAAAATTGAAACATCATAATAACATCATTAATTCTAAAATTAACAGTTAGAAAAAAGTGGTCGATGGGAAATGAAATGAAATAACAAAATTTAGATCTCACCTTGGATACGGAGGCTCCCAGTCCTGCTTGACATGAACCCTGCAGATTGTAGCCCTGTTTTCCTGAAACGGAAATGCGTAATTATTGTATATATTGTCCGCCTATTCAGACGAATAAAAACATCACTCGTCATATCTAGTCTATTGTATTCATGATGACAATAATACTAAATAAGTACTGGCTAAATTCAACATCTGACCTTTCGTTTAACTTTATTGCTTCCATATATACACATGTATTTAATCATTCACATATGTTTTATTTCACATTCTTTTTTTTTAAACATAATTTATTGGCTACCTGCTAATATTTAAATATGGAAGTCATGTTAAAATCAAAATTCTTTTCTGTATTTGAGAATTCAATTTGTAAACTAATACTTTTTGTATAAATATAAAAATAATAATAAAAACCGTAATATTTATAATAAATTAATAATACTTTTTATATTTTTATAAGAAGGACTGACACACTTTCGGCTTAAAAAAATTATAAGCACCACTTTAGTCATTTTTTTTTCAATTTCTACGTTTCTTTCAAACAGGAAGAACAACTTTACGCTTTATAAATTCGCCGCAATGATATGATATGCCCTTTACGGAAATGTTATAACGTTTTGAGTACTGCGCGATGATATTTCAGAAGAAAAATATGAGAATCTCTGTAAAGGACTTTTAAACGCATAATAATATATTTACTACGTTATTCAAACAGCATGGAAAGTTTTATATCAATTTTGGTAGTTTATTAGAATTCTAAAACTAAAATTTAGGCGATGCAAACTGCAAATGGGAATTTGTACCTCAACGTACAAAAATTTTAGAGAAAAACCTGCTCTTTGATGATTCTAAAAACTTTTGATCTAGCATGTACGACTATTTGCAACTATTACGAACATTTTCTGAATCTTTTGATACTTTTTATTTCTGATATTTTATTTCTAAATTTAAAGTATTTAATTTAAGTTTTTTATTTCTAAATTCAGTCCGAGGCCTGTTATTATTATTATTAAATTAAAATACGCGGTCTTTAAAGTACTGCATTAAATTATTGCTTTTGCATTTCAACATATATATATATATATTATAAGCCTCTTTTGCTTTTGTATTATAATATTCATTAAGTAGAAGAAATGCAAATTTATTTTATATTTAATCAAATAAAATGTTCACATCACTCGATTATGTAATTGATTCATTGTAAATAATTACAATGTCCGTGAAATTATATAGTGATTCGTGGTACTACTTAATTAAGTTAATTACGTGACCCTTGGATTAATCAAAAGCGAGTAGGGTATATGCAGTCATCAGAGGTAGCAAATTAATTAGAAAGGAGTGTTTAAAAATAAACCCGACCCGACCCGATATATATTTAAGCTCATTAGCAGGTTAGATCTGATAATACAATAAAGAGTTGCGACCGCTGCGACCATAGGTACATAATTATAACCATTTAAATTCATACGACTAAATAACTAAACAACTAAACTAATTTAAAAAATAAACAAAAGTTCTTTACTAATAATGATATACCCAGAAAAAAATGCACACAAAAATTTAACTTTGTTTTTCCCTGACTTTTCCATGATTTCTAGACGGAATTTTCACTTTTTCCTGACACTAAAGAATATTCTGATTCACTCTAAAAATTTAGATACCGAAAAAAATGTTCTAATATATTTTATTTGCAAATTTCTCTAAAAGTACAATTATTCGAAAACATTAACTTTATTTTTAAATAAATATTTAATTATTATTTTTCCGTAGGAATTAAAATTCTTCAAAACATTCAAATTAAAACCTTTTGAAACTCAATAACTTACTATCTTCGTGTTTTATAAAAATTAGAAGATGACCGAGTGATAAAATTATTATTTTTTGTATAAGAATATTGTTACATCTTCTTATAAATTATTTTCATCATTTTAATTCAGTTATTATTTTCCAGAATTTTTAACTAAAATTCTTCTTTACATCAATTATTAGTTAAAAGTAAGAAAAATTTAGATCTTCAAAGATTTGAAATTAAAACCTTTTCAAAATTCAATTGTTTCTAAAAATTCATGCTATAATGATTTTAATATTCAATTTTACTCTAAAATGCTAAACGAAATTATTCATTTTTAAAACTGTTTTTATTAGAAAATTCAACGAGAAAGACAATTTATTTATTTAAATACAAAAATAAATAATTTATTCAATGATTGACTGTTTTTTGAAATTTAATTTTTACGAAGAATTTTATTAACAACTTTTGAAAATAATTAATTTCTTTCAAGAAATTTAATGACAATTTTATTGAAATTTATTATATTAAAAAAATTTATAGCATATTTTGAAAATATTTGAAAACATTTTGAAGAATTTTGTTAAAATTTAAAAAAATAATTGAATTCCTGAGAAGAATTTAAATAATAATTTATGAAAATAATTGAATTCGTGCGAAAAATTTTATTAAATTTTGTTTAAACAAAGGAAATTTTGCCATAATTGAATTCCTAAAAATAATTTTCTTATTTATGAAAATAATTAAATGTTTGAATAGAATTATATCAACATTTTTTTTAAATAATTGAATGCTTTTGGAAATTTCATTAAAATCGTAGATATATTGAAAAACACTGAATGGAGGAAATTTTTTTTAAATAATTGAAATTTTACGAACATTTAATTAATTGTATTACTTATTATTTGAAATTTATTAAAGTTTTTGAAAATAAATGAATTTTGGAGAAGAACTTTATTATTTATAAAGATAATTGAAATTTTTACGAGAAATTTTTTTAATTTCTAAACATAATCTAATAAATTTTAACTAAAATTAATTTTTAAATGAATTTTTATTAGAGAATTTTACGAGAAATCAATAATTTAAATACAGCAATAAATAATTTACTCAATAATTGAATTTTTCTTAAAATTTAGTTTTTACGAAGTATTTTATTAACAACTTATGAAAATAATTAAATTCTTTTAAGGAATTTAATTTAAATTTTACTGAAATTTATTATAGTAAAGAATTTCATAACAAGTTTTGAAAATAATTGAATTTCTGGGAAGAATTTAAATTATAATTTATGGAAATAATTGAATTCATGAGAAGAATTTTATTAAATTTTGTATAAATAATTGAAATTTTGCCAAAAATTTTATTACAATTTTTGTCAATAATAATTGAATTCTTGAGAATAATTTCGCTACCTATTTATAAAGATAATTTAATTGAAAATAATTCATTTTCTGCAACAAATTAAAAGTTATTTAATTGAAAATAATAATTAAATTATTGCAACGAATTATATTATAATTTTTAAACTGAATGAGAATATTTTTTAAGTCAAGGAGAAGTAAGAATTCGAAATTATATTTTTAGGAGAAGCAAAAAATATTCTTACTATAGAAAATATTCTACCAATAAGTAGTCCCTTTTTGCAGTCTATATACAATAAATTATAAAAATTGAAATATTCAAAGCTAGCAAAAATTGCGAGAAATGTGCTGAAAAGCAAAAAATTTCTATACTTACAGGAAACAAAAGGAAAACAAACTTAAAAGAAAAATTTCTGTTTGGCACAACAATTAAATACACTTGACATTTTTAAAATAAATTTTCTTTATCCGTTTGTATGTGTGTGTGTTATAAATTGTCGTGTTAAAACACTTTCATTTGAAATAAATGTGGTGTCAGTTTAAAGTGTTTAGAAATCGAATTCAGTGTTCGTTGAAATTGTAAACTATATATTATTTAACTCGTGTTACAAACATATTGTAACCATTTCTGGATAAAACTCCGTTTGTCTTGTCAGCTTGTCCGTCTTTCAAGTACGTCTTTCTGTCTGCCGTTTATCTATCTCGACCTGACTATTCGACTTGCGAACGTCGGCAAATTAAACGGGACGATTAGCAGACTGACAGAGAAACTCGAAATTCTCCGAATAAAATTGTTTTTTTCCTCTCAAGTTGAGTATTTTATCTTAAATTAATAAATTTGTAAAGAAAAAATACTTGAAAGGGAAATTCCATCGCCATTGTTGTATAAAAAGAAAAGAATTGGATAAAAAAGACGATAGGAAAAAAGGGGTTATACTAATTGTTACTAATTGTCTTTATGCTTATCGCTTTTTTATTCAAGTCATTTCACTGCAATTCAATGTTTTAACTTATACGAAATGCTTTTAACTTTTTTATGGACGAATACAATGATACTTGTGTTCATTCGCATATTTATGCTTTTATGATGAGTAATCTGATTTATTTAATTTATAATTTGGATTTTGCTTAAATTAATTCGAACGTACGTGCATTTACACCCAGAGGAAAATTTTTTTATAGGATTTAAATAAAAAGATATTTGTCACAGAAGCTACTAAATTATTTTTTTTTAAATACAAATTTTATTCGCCACGAATAAGATTTATTTAAAGAAAATAAAAAGAATTGTTGGCTCTGAGTCAAATACATCAGGGTTAGAACAGGAAAATCAGGTAATTCAGGAAAAAGTCAGCGATTTTTATTAAAAACACTGAAAAAAATTAAATTTTTAGAATTCATAAAAAAATTCTGAATTTTTGTGGCATTTTTGTTTGACTTATAAACTATAAAATTACCACGAATTCTAATACAAAAACCACCAAAAAAATTTTTTTTTTTTATTTCTGACCAGAATGAAATTTGTAATATTTAATTATTACAAAAGTTTTAACACAATCTTGATAAATAACAAAATTCTTCACAAAAATTCAATTATTTTCAAAAATTTTAATAAAATTCTTGACAAATTTTCAATTATTTTCAAAAGTTTTTCGCAATTCAATGATTTTCAATGTTTACTATTTTCATAAAATTTATCAAATTAGTTAACAATTGAAACAATTTTTTTGATACAATTCTACGAAAACATTCAATTTTTTTCATAAATAATAAAATTTCATTTAGAAATTCAAATATTTTCATTGCAGAATTTCAAATGTTTTTAATACAATAAATTTTAAACAAATTCCTCGACAAATGCAATTATTCTTACAAATTTTATTAAAAACTTGACGGAAGAATTCAATTTTAAGAAACATTCAATTATTCAATAAAATAATAAAATTCGTTGCAATAATTCAATTATTTTTAATAAAATTCTTTTTCAAAATTCAATTATTTTGATAAATATCAAAATTCAGTACAAAAATTAAATTCTTTTGAAAAGTAATAAAATACTTTGTAGAAATTAAATTATTTTCAAAATTTTGTTTAAATTCTCGTCAAGAATTAAATTATCTTTATCAATAGGTAGCGAAATAATTCTTCTCAAGAATTCAGTTACTGTAAAAATTTTTAATAAAGTTCTTGGCAAAATTTCAATTCTTTAAACAAAATTTAATAAAATTTTTCTCATGAATTCAATTATTTCCATAAATTATAATTTAAATTCTTCCCAAAAATTCAATTATTTTCAAAACTTGTTATAAAATTCTTTACTATAATAAATTTTCAGTAAAACTCAAATTAAATCTCTATAAGAAATTAATTATTTTCATAAGTTGTTAATAAAATTTTTTGTAAAAATTAAATTTTAAGAAAAATTCAATTATTGAGTAAACTATTTATTAATGTATTTAAATTATTGATTTCTCGTAAAATTCTCTAATAAAAATTCATTTAAAAATGAATTTTAGTTAAAATTTTAGATTATGTTTAGAAATTTAAAAAATTTCTGGTAAAAATTTCAATTATCTTTATAAATAATAAAGTTCTTTTCCAAAATTCATATATTTTTCAAAACTGTAATAAAATTCGATTGATAAGTAGGTAATACATTTAATTAAATGTTGGTAAAATTTCAATTAGGTATTTAAAAAATTTTTCTTCCATTCAGTGTTATTCAATATCTACGATTTTAATAAATTTTTCAAAAGATTTCAATTATTTCAAAAAAATTCAATTCATAAATTACTATTTCAATTCTTCTCAGGAATTCAATTATTTTTTAAAATTTTAATAAAATTCTTCAAAAAGTTTTCAATTATTTTCAATAATTGTTATAAAAAATTTTATAATATAATAAATTTCAATAAAATTTACATTAAATTTCTTGAAAGAAATTAATTATTTTCAAAAATTGTTAATAAAATTCTTCGTAAAAATTAAATTTCAAGAAACATTCAATCATTGAATAAATTATTTATTTTTGCATTTAAATAAATAAATTCTCGTAGAATTTTCTAATAAATATTGTTTTAAAAATGAATTTTAGTTAAAATTTTAGATAATAATTGAGTGTTGAAAGCATTATAGCATGAATTTTTGGAAATAATTCAATTTTGAAAAGGTTTCAATTTCAAATCTTTGAAAATCAAAATTTTTCGTACTTTTAACTAATAATTGATGTAAAGAACAATTTTAGTTAAAAATTCTGGAAAATAATAATTGAATTTAAAATGATGAAAATAATTTTGAACAAGTTAGAGTTACAATATCCTTATAATAAAATAATGATCTCATTTGAATGTTTTGAAGAATCCTAATTCCTATATGGAAAAATAGTGATTAAATATTTATTAAAAAATGAAGTTTATGTTTTCGAATAATTTTACTTTTAGAGTTTGCAAATGAAAGTATTAGGACATTTATTTGAGTATCTAATAATTTTTAGAGTGAATCGCAGAATATTTTTTAGTGTCAGGTAAGAAGTCTAAATTTTGTCTGGAAAGGAGGAAAAATTAAATTTTTCTGGCAACTCTTAATTTAATAAAAATAAAGGAAATTTTCAAGAAAAGAATAAATTGTCATAACAGAATTTTATTATTTTATTAAAATTTTTGAAAATAATTGAATTTTGAAGAAGAAATTTATTGAAATAGTAGGGTAGAGTGGGGTAAAAAAGCCACATTTTTACTTTTGATGCTGTAAAATCTGTATTTAAAATTTTTTTCTCAAATTTCCAATTGTTATTGAAAGTTTAGTTATTAAGCTTGAAAATTCTTGACGAAAATAATTTTTATCTCATGAAAGGACTAAGTTATAAGAGTTTTACGAAAGCACTGCAAGTGGCTTTTTTGCACCACCTGGTGGGGTGAAAAAGCCACCCTACGATTTTAGCAAAACATGTTATCAATTTAGGTATTTTTATAGTTTTCCTTTATTTATATGACAAATAGTCTTATTTGAAAAATATTTTAATAATTATGAAAGAGTTTTTAGCAAGCAAAATTGAAAATTATATTAAGTTTACCTGTTTTCGATTTTCACTGCCAATTTTTCGTACCTTTTTTAGAAGTTCTCTTTAAGTTTGACCACAGATAACATATTTCGTTGCAACCGTTTATTCATTGTTTATTTTTTAAATGCACTTTGAACTAATTTTTCGTCGTGTTTAATTTATTTTATTAAATAAACACGAGAAATTTTGTAAAATAAGAAGGTTAGTTTAAATAGAAAACAAGTGAATTTCACAAAATATTCAATGGATTTTTTGCCCTGGCTTTTTTACACCCAAGACCAGTTATTAAAAAAAGCAAAAATAAATTGTTAATTCAGTTCAATTTCCAAAAATTAACATTGTATACGTTTTCGGTATACTTTTCTCCTTATGTACAAACATTTACTTTTACTATTCGTTCACTTAATCAGGTTGTAATATGTTTGAAAAGTTCACCAAAATGTTTTCAAAAAAGCAACAAAAAATTAAAATTACAATAAAAACAATATTAATCTAGGTACAACATTCAAATTAGATTCAAAAGTTGCGTATTACCTAATAGTATTTATATTCTAAACAGCTGATAAATCGGCTTAATAGTTTTTAAATAAAACTCAAATGGCTTTTTTACACCATGGCTTTTTTACCCCACTCTACCCTAGTTATTAAAAATAATTGAATTTTGATAAATTATTGAAATTAATTAAATTTCTAAGAACAGTTAATTTCATTAAAATTATATTGAAAAATAAAATTGAATTCTTTTTCATGAAATGAAAAAATAATGAAAATAATTGAATTCCTGGTGGAAAAAATGTTATTTTCCAGGTTTTCAGATTGCGTAGCAACCCTGGAATAGTTTTACGGAAAAATATTATAATTCCTTGAGTGATGTAATGTAAAGATTGAATTTAATGAAGTTGTTCTTCATCTATTTGTGCTAAATTATAGAAATTTTTAAATATTCCTAATACTTTCTAAATATTAAGTTTAATATGATAAATTCTATAAGTTTTGTCCTAATTGTTATAAATTCTAACGGTGACGCCTTAATTATGGACTGAAATTAAGAAACACGAAATTGTTGAACAATTTTCTGAGTAAATTATTATTTTATATGACTTGACAGAGACATGCGCTCATAATTAGCAAAGAGGCAGTCGAACATCGCGGGTCTTCGACCGCTGTGTTGCAGATTAACTATATAGATGACATTAAGAAACGTTTGATTGGTTCAAGTGCTTTTAACATAAAACCTAGAAAATGTATTTCCTTCATTTCAAATTGACGCGCACAGTATTAAAAGTAAAATTAACATGATGTCAAAATCATTTCTTCTAATAAAAGTTGCTTCAATTTCTCCATTTCTTTTTTTTTCATATAAAAATACAAGCGCACTTCCATTTAATAGTATCGCAATTAAATATAATGTTTACATGATTCTTTAGATTTCTTGAAATATTAAAATTCCTATGGAAATAAAGTAAGCGAATTATGTTTACTACCAGTAATAAATATTAGTAAATAAATTAATAAATATTACGGTTAGTAAATAATTTTGTGAATAATATTTAAAAAATACGAACGCTGAATAAAAACTTTTTTTTTGTTACGGTAAAATGTTATACGAAGAGTATTCAAACTTTTTTAATTCTTTCAGGTTTGTAAAGAAAAAAATTAATTTACACTCAGATAAAATTAATCTTGTTTGTGAATATTTATGAAATTTGTTTATAAAAACTCACCTGTTCGACAAGGAGAAAATTCCAGTGGTTGGCTAACAAAATTTGTCAACCAACAAGTGCCAACTGGCTCTCTTTTGTCCGCGCCTGAATGTCCTTTCGACACTTGCTTACCAAACCACAAATATCTTGGTGCACATGCCTGCAAAAATAATAACAATTGTTTCATTAAACATTGAATTTGTTTTCACCTTCGTAAACAAAATTATAATAAACAATAATAACTATGAAGTAATCTCATAATCTGTTATACAATTTAAATACTTAAACTTGATAGCAAGTGAAAATAATTTTTATAATCTTTATGTTCCTTATTTTAATTATTGATAAATTTATGAAAATTAAAATGCATATGAGTGTGAGTATAAATAAAATGTACTTATAAGTAGAGCGTGACATAAGAACATGTGTGTCCTTTTGCAAACTGAGGGCAGCAATTGAACAAATAAATGTTCTCAATAAGTATTTAAATCAGTCAACCACGACACAAATTATACAGATATTTATCTTTATTGTCTTCTTTCTGACTGTGAATCAGAGTATATTCGCTTATGTGAAACAATAAATTACAACTTCAAAATTAGTATAGATTCCTCTCGTTATTGTCATGATGATTTTTAACAAAAATCGTACATTTCTGTTTTAACAATTTACTCTTTTCTTGAAATTTTCCTTTATTTTTATTAAATTCAGAGTTGCCGGAAAAATTTAATTTTCCCTCATTTCCAGACAGAATTTAGACTTTTTCCCTGACACTAAAGAATATTCTGCGATTCACTCTAAAAATTATTAGATGCACAAAAAAAAATGTTCTAATATCTTTTATTTGCAAATTTCCCTAAAAGTAAAATTATTCGAAAACATTAACTTCATTTTTAAATAAATATTTAATTATTATTTTTCCATAGGAATTAAAATTCCTCAAAATATTAAAATTCTACTACTACTGTACTACTACATACTTGTTTTACTGCTTAAACTTTATAAACACGAGGAAATAGATGTTTAACTCCGAAGTGCATGAATACATATTATGGTTCCTGAAATAATTCAAAGGTCTCAAGATCCCTTTGTTAATAATAATTTTCACAGCGAGTTAATGATCCGTTGTGGCTGAAGGGTCAAAAGTCATATGACGATGACCTCAATTACATATGTTACATAATCGCCCTATGAAGGTTATAGACACAAGGGACCAGATTTCATTCAGCTTATTTATGTGTAAAAAAAACTATATACAAATATATACTTAATTTAAAAAACTTCTTTACAAAGTAAATATCGTGTTCTTCTCACGTATTTTCAAGCCTAGGACTGAATTTCGACACACAGTCAACTATATAAAGTATTATAAAAAAGCGTTGAAGCTTAAACTTGTACCAAACAAGATTAAAATACTTCACATTATTGACTTTATTTTCTCCACGACAAAAGTTATTTTAATAAAGAAGAACAAGTATTTTTATTTGTTTCAAGTAAATTTTATTTTGTTCAAATCTGTTTTATTTGTGTCGAATAAAATTTTTATTTAAACCAAATAATCAAATATAAATAATTCAGTAGACTCGGAGATAAGTTTACTTTCTATTTAACTGAAATTAATAGATGTCTAAATTATTATTGAGACAAAAAACATCAAAACGTTGCTTCGCAAATTACACGTTTTTTTTTTAATTTGATATCCTTAGAAAAACTGTGATTTATTTGAGTTAAATAACATTTTTCTGAAATCTGAAGACTGTATTTTCAAAATATTTTTAGAGGTGGGGGAAGAAAGAGTTTCTTCCGGCATTGATCTTACAGGTAGCGCACTAAATAACTCACTAAATGATAATATAAGACTTTTTTAAAAAAAACTATCAAGAAACAATGGAAGAATTTCCGCAATATAAATTATCTTCAATGACCTCGACAGTGGATCTTATCACATCCTCTATAAAATTGATAAGTGCATAACGCATAACTTGCATTTGAATACTGTGAAAGTAATTATAATAACATAACAATAATTATAATAACAATAATCATAAGAACAATAATCGTAACAATTGAGAATGTTTCGAATTCAAAATAAGGTGCTTCAATGTATAAAATTAAAAAAAAAATACTTTTATACAAAGTTAAGACACAATTATATTATAAATATTCTTCTTCATAAATTGAAATTCTCCAAAAGTGTATGCAGATATTTCGTTATTAAATACTCCACAATATAAAACAATCATAGCGAAAATGCAAGAAGGAGATAAGACATCACGAGAAGGGGGAAGTAAATTGAATGTAACGACAAGTTGACAGTATTTCACTCATACAACACTTAAGAGATGCAATAAGAATAAAAAGAGGAGATAATACAACAAGAGGAGTTATTGTCTACACTAAACAGCAATTTTTTCATTGCGCCACTTTAATCATTGCAATAAAAAAACAAAATAGTAAATTTAAAACGAAAAAAAACTATAAATTCTTTTCCTTTCTAATTTAAATTTAATCTATTAATTAATTAATTAACTATATTAATCTTCGTATGCTTTCATTCATTCTGTCCGCAATTTCAAGTTAGTTTTTGCGAATGCTTTTGTTTTTTTTTTCTTCAAAAAATATTGTTTGACAAATCGAAAATATGGAGGTATTTTTTCATGATTCACAATAGAATAATATTAGAAATTAGAAAATTAAAAAAAATGATGAGTAACAAATAAAAAATATAACTCACTTTATTTGTTATATGCTTTTTTCTATATAACAAATTTTGTTTGACTGATCCAAATTATTCTCCTTTTTATTTATGAAAAATAAAAAAATACTAGAAAATTATTTTTAAAATTACTAATTATATTTAAAAAATTGAGGGAGAAGTCAGAGTGAGAATTGTTGCTAGTTATTTCATTAGTATTAATTCCATCCCCAGTTTTTTTCGTTTAACTTTTTATTCTCCCATTTAATTTTCGGTTCAGTAACTTTTTCCTTCTAACAAAATGAAAAAGATTGAGAAACAAAAACTCTGAAATTATAGGGTCCAAAAAGAGATTAGTTGTTTCCCCATAAATATAATAGGAAGAATCGAATAATCGATGAACAGTCATGGGCATTAAACTTGCGCCCGCTTCTGCCGCAAGTATAAATCCATTGGCTTGCTCGACTTTAACGCACGAACAGCTGCAAGAGTCTCGTGCATATGGCATTTAAACGTGGACGTACATATTATTCGTATGCGCGTGCATGCAGGGAACTTTTTCAAACCAGAAATTGTAATAATATATAGATACTATTTATTTCAGAATATAAAGGCTGCATTAACACATCACAATGCCAATACCACTTCAAATGTTACAAACTGTATAACAATTGCAACAAAAGAATTAGTTTTCAAATAATAAAGGGTGAAATTTTGAGGAGAGTTTTTATAGGTCAAAATCATCAAGTGTTTGCGTAAAATATTTTCGTTTCAGATCCAATAGATAAATAATGATTTTTATCGGTCTGTATATTAAATATATATATATATAGTACCGACTAAAATTGTTTCCTACAACATTGCAGTTTTTAAATTCAAATATTTATTTCTGTCAATGACTAGAGGCAGGAAAACTTTATCCTTGAGCGCATAGAAGCATAAATTTTAAAACTGTTCTCCAGTGTTTTCGCATTTTCGCATTAAAAATACTATCCAATAATATCAATATTTTGTAAATTCTTCCACAATTATTTAATAAATTATTTTTTCGAACGTCGTCTATTTTATAAGAAAGTGAAAGATAGTGTCGCTTTTTCTTTCATCTTTAAAATATCTTCCAAAAATCGAAAAAATAATATTACTATTTAATAATAGAAAATAGTAATTGCAATTTCCTAAAGCATACATAATTTCTGAAGAAGCATAATTGAATTATCACTTTTGTTTTGATTCTTAATTTCCATCACTTATTTTTCAATCCTTAATTCACAGCTCTAAATATATTTAGTGATAAGTGAATTATAGGATATTTTTTCCAAGTTCCAATAATTAAATTTTGGTGCATTAATAATTAATTCACCTAATATTTGAAATTTTACAAAATTTCAATTTTTAATGAGTTTTAATAAAAATGTTAAAAAACTTGGATTTTTGAGAAATTTTAACAATTCAAATTCTTCTGAAATTAGTTAAATATTAAATTTTTTAATAAATAATTCATTAATTATTAAAAAAATTAAATTATGCAGAAGTTACAAATTATTGCAAAAATTCAATTATTTTCATAAATAGTAAAACTCATCGTTGAATTTGAATTATTTTCACTACAATTTTAATCGAATTCTCCGAAAAATGTAATTATTTTTAAAAGTTCAATTAAAAAGCGTCAAAAAAATTCAAGTATTTAAAAATTTGTTGATAAAATTGTTTATGAAAATTCGATTTTAAGAAACATTCAAATATTTAAAAAATTTGTTGATAAAATTCTCTTAAAAAATTTTATCAAGAAATTCAATTTTATGAAACATTCAATTATTTAATTAGATTATTAATTTTTTTATTAAAATAATTGAATTCTCGTAGAATTTTCTAATAATTAAAATTAATTTGAAAATGAATTTTAGTTAAAAGTTTAGATAATAATTATATATTAAAAGAGTTATTGCATGAATTTTTACAAAATAATTGACTTCTGAATGGGTTTCAAATTAAAATCTTTGAAAATTTGAATTTTTCACACTTTCAACTATAATAATTCTGTAAATTTAATTACATTGAATTGTAAACAAATGGATTAGAAAATTCTCGAAAAACTTTTTCAAAAATGATTAAAAAATAATTGATTTAAAGAAGAATTTTAGTTGAAAATTCCTAGAAAATAAGAATTTAATTGCAATGATAATAATTTTGAAGGAGTTTACAGTAACTATATTCTTGTCATAGAAAATAATAATTTTATCACTTGTTTTATAACAATATTTCTAAAGTTGTTGAATTTCAAAAAGGTTTGAATTTGAATATTTTGAGGAATTTTAATTCCTATGGAAAAATAATGATTAAATATATTTTTAAAAAAATGAAGTTAATGTTTTCGAATAATTTTAATTTTAGAGAAATTTGCTAATAAAAGTATTAGAAAATTTTTTTGAGTATCTAATAATTTTTTAGAGTAAATCGCAGAATAT